TGTGTGTGTGTGTGTGTTTGTGTGTGTGTGTGTGTGTGTGTGTGTGTGTGTGTGTGTGTGTGTGTGTGTGTGTGTGTGTGTGTGTGTGTGTGTGTCTGTCTCTCTCAAGCTACACTATTGGCGCTGATCATTTTTACAACGGCTATGCTACTCTGCTCTGGACTTTATACTCCACTGCAGCTTCAAATTGTGGGCTCCGATGTCGAGTCCTGTGGCTTGCGGCTGCGGTTGGCATCCGACAACCGGAATGTTCTGGACGTCCACGGAGACTGAGCTGCGACGGACAGAAGGACAGACAAACTTCTGGAACTCCTAGGCCTACGGACTGTATGGAACTAGAGCAGCACCAACTTTGGTATGGCCTGAATCTAAACTACGGCCTAGGGGTCCGGCCTACCGGATGAGAATATGGTATAGTGGGAAAAAGGGGACTTTGGGACTGGACCAGGTACTCAGGGGTACATGCATCCTTACATTTTGTACATCTTTTCTGGATTCCTCATTCGTATCCAAACTTAGCCGTGTACGCAGCAATGGGTAGTTAACATACTTGCAAGTGCACGCTGTCCAGGCAATTGCGCACGTAGGGAGCGCGAGCACCGGATCCGTACAGTGCATGGGGGAAATTGGCACCCACTGCCACCCAGAGAAAAAACTTCAAAAAAGGGATTGCAGCCCTGGATCAGTGGTCACCTGCACTCCCTTCAAAAATTTGTCGTAGGATAGGGTTGCATCCCTGCCGACTGCCGACCCCGACCGCCGACCGTATTGCAGCCCACCAGTAGGGCCGACTGGTCGGCGGTCTGCAGCCCAATGGGGAGGCTGGCCAGTCCTTATATTGTCTTGGACTGAACTTCAACTCATCCCAGCCTCTGCTTCTTGGGGCTTGACTTGGTTCTGGTACTACGTCCCCACGGGCTGTTCGTTTCAGAATGTCAGGGCCTGGTACTGTTCCCGAATTTTCATTGGTGTGCTGCTGCTTGGGCCTGTGAGTCACGACTTTTCATTTGTGGAACATGACTTTTGACTAATGGGTTGCGACTCCTGCCTCTGGGACACGACTTTTGCCTGGGGAAGTGACCTTTGCCTGTGGGTATGACTCTTCAATATGAGACGCGACTTTTGCCCCTGGGATGTGACTGCTCATTGGGTGCCTGTTGGATTTGACCCCTGCAGTACCCGACTGTGACTTCTCTGAAATTGACCGTCTCGGTCTAAGACCTTGACCCTGAAACTCGAATTTGGGGTCTGAATCGTGGAAGGCCTTTCATTACCCTCTCTCTCCTCTCAAGTTCATTCATTTCTTTTTGCAATGGGACGGCATTGTGTACTTTCTGATGAATGTGTACTTGGAAATTGGCCAGGATCATAACACTACAGCTATTTCTCACCTCCTTCACAATTCTGAGGAGATTAATCAATGCAGGGGTGCCAGGGACCTTCATGTCTGCCTGATGTTGCCCTGCACTCTGCTTTGTACAGGATAGCACCTGACTTGAGGACGCACAATCTGCTGACTATAATTTATTTGGAATGAGTTGTCTGCAGGCTGATCTGGAGAAGAAGCATATTGACTTGATTCGGTCCTATGCGCATGATTTACGAGATGTGCAAGAGATTTTCAACAGGCAGAAGGACACGCCTTGCATCAACAAGAATAGCCCACCTTACAGGTGAGGGGGGTGAAAGGGGGGTCTGCCGTGGGGTATCGGCATGGCATAGATGTTAAGGGCTCTTCCCAATCATGAGCCATTGCTGGCACTGTGTTCAACTGTTCTTGTCATCTGCTGTGGTACTACTCCCTCCAAACTCCTCTCCTCCCCATGGTCATCCTCTGATGATTGTGTCAATTGCATCCTCCTATTCACTATTAGGACTTCTAGCAATCTCGGGAATGAAGTCTTTGCTTCTTACTCCTTGTTATGTGAATCTTGGGAATGAAGTCTTTGCTTCTTACTCCTTGTTATGTGGCTGAAGTTTGTGATGTCTGTGTACTGACCACACATGCAGCAGTAGATACTACTGTGAGATAAGCAAACAACGAACGTCCAACTGCCAATGCTAAGTTGATGTGATGCTAAGGTGGAAATCACTTCTTGTCATGGTGTCATCCCATTGCGATGAACATGATGTGAAATCAGGCTAGGAAATGAAGCCGTTCTTCTTCTTCTTCTTCCACTTCCTTCTCTTCATCCTTCAAGTCCTCATCCTCCTCGTCATCCTTCTCCTCCCACTGATTCTCTCTCCGTTCTTCTTCTTCTTCTTCCACTTCCTTCTCTTCATCCTTCATGTCTTCATCCTCCTCGTCATCCTTCTCCTTCCCCTGATTCTTTCCCTTCTCCTCCGCCTCTCGACTATCCACTCTACCATCTTCAGATTGACCAGTGCATGTTCCTGGCGAGAGTATCTTTTTTTTTTTCTTTTTTTTATATAATAAAACAGGTCCTTATGGTCCTGGCTCCTTTTCCATTCTAGGGAGCATCAGTCCGGTTCCTATTCCCCTGGCAAGTCGAGAATGAATACATCAATATACACGCTAACGCTTCGTTCTGTATGGCCGAAGGACCCCTGACCAGCATTGATTGCTCCTTGAAGGAGGATTGACTGTCAGCTTGCCTGTGCGAGGAACAGGCCCTCACGGGGCCCTATCAGACATCACATGCTCTGGGCAAAGGCCCCCAGCAAGCCGAGTGCCCGCCCTAAGTGAAGGCGGGCCTGAATATTCAGGCTCTTGCACCACGCCAGTTGGTTGAGTGGACGCGTGAGCCTCACGAAGCTGCGTCGTGCAGTTAGCCCAGGCCTTGACAGTTGCGCCTGGGCACATACACACAAAGCAGGGCCGATACATTGAGAAGTAGGCCATCGGCCTATGCAAAAGCAATACTGTCGACGCACCTACTGGGGAGCCCTGCACAGATGCAGCAAACAGCACAAGTCCGGAGACTCGGGCCGTGCCCAACTATAAAGGGGCCCAGGCCCTCAACTGTAGTCTCGGGCCTGGGTGCAGGGACTGAGGCCCAACTGGAAGCTACTGGAAGCTTCCAGCCACGCCACACGCAGCATCCAGGAGGCTGCCAGTTCCATATAGGAAGTGAGGCCGCCCTGGCGAGGGATTCTGGCCTGTGTAGGCAATGCGGAAGTGCTGCTGCGCTACTGCTTGATGCTGCGGTGCGGCCAAGGGCGCTGGCGGGGCTCGTAGAGGTGAAGTGGGACGCAGGCAGCCATAGCCGGGCTGCTGGGCGCCAGGGGGTAAGAGGGCGATCTGGTGGTCTTCAGGGAAGGAGGCAAAGTGTGGGTTATCAAGGTCTGATGAGGGTGACGAGATACGTACCTGGTGCATGAAGAGAGGTCGGCTATGGTGTTGACATCATGTACATTGGTCTTCGAGAGTCGAAGTGAGCCTGTTGCGTGAACACATCTGTAGGTAGGATAGGCGAGGAGAGTAGGCTGGGCGCTGGGCGCCAGACAGAGAGGAGCGACTTTGGATATTGTGTTGTTGTGGCCTATGGGCTTGAACATTGGCTCATTACTTCATTGTATTTGCTCTAATTGCTCTATTTGGATGGATTCTCGGTGCAATTGTGCTCTCTGCTTGTACACGACTACTCAGACATCTGTGTGATTTCACAACTTGGTTTTCTGTATATCGTTCACACTCATATTCCTTGCAATTTGGTATCGGAGCTGGTTTGTGATTGCCACTTACCTGACGCTGGCAACATTGTTACTTGGTGCGCCGACGATGCTTCATGTGCAGTAAGGATACTTTGGCGCTGGTTTGTATTAGCGGGGCCTAGGTGGAGAGGCCGGCCGATGGAAGGCTGTGGCAACAGTGTGGGAGCTGTGGCGACAACGGGTGTATGTAGGATGATGAGAGTATGCCGACATGGCATTTTGGCTGAAGTGGCACTGCATTGAACGGTAGGTGGTACCGACGCTATTGACCGGTCATTGAAATGCACGTCGGCCCAATTGGTGAGAAATTTGTGGTTGGGGGCAGCTATCTCCAGGTAAGTTGTTTCCATTCCTTATCTACCCTCTCAATCTCTTCTTACCGTGAGGAAGTGATTCCAACTTGAGTGTCCTCTCTGTGGTGAGGAGTCGTGTGCGCTCTACCTTGAGAGAGGACATTCTTCCCGGTGGCGCATCTAGCTGGAGAGGGCGGTGCCTTTGAAGGCCCCTGGTCGAAGCACGGGTCACGGTGTCGAGCGCATCGACTCCCGCCTTTTTGCAAAGTGCGGGAGCCCTCCCGGCCATGTGACACAGGAGTAAAATAAAACATAACAAGAGACAACTCGGGAATGGCGTAAATATAATCCCATGAATCGCCAAGACGGACGCAGTTGCATCGCTCCTTCGCCGCTCTAGCTGGGTGCGCCAACTGTACATCCTACGATCCCCTACGACAAGATAGGTTTTCGCGGGGCACATCTTGCCTTCCCTAAGGGGCTGTCACCACCCTCAAGGGCGTATCCCTACCGAGCTACTGACCCGCGTGCGAAAGCTTTTACATGCATTGCAGAGGTAGGTCAACCGGGGGGCGTTTGCTCGTTCGTTGGAGTATAGGTACGCTTGGTTAACGCCAAGTGGACCCGAATGTTGTCTGTTCCCTAGGGCGCTAATCTCCTAGGTACAAAACGAATGTCCGTCGACTAGGACGGTTTCAACCAAGCGTAAAACCCACAATATAATCCTAGTCCATTATAACTCTTTGGTCACAAAACAAATAAAATCGATATATCTTATATCCAATCACGTAAGATGGGTTTTTGACTTGATGAGATGATCTGCCAAAGTTTTTTTCCCCAGCCTATATGACTGAAGAGATTTTTATACGCCGCTTCCGGGGCGAGGCTCGGTATTGCCAAAAGATTAGGAAAGGACAACCTAACCTTTGACTTACGGCTTAGTCCATCAACGCCTACTAAACCCTGCCAGAAATGACTTATGCAAGTAAATTCCACTACTACCATGCAGATCAACAAGTGATCTAGCTCTTGACCAACGTTTGAACTCTCGGTTCGACCACATCTCCGTATCATATGCAGTTTGTTTGGAGAAAAATATTATCTAGTGGATAAAAAATTTGTTGGTCGCTTTGTTCTCCTGACAATAATTACTTTTTTCATTCCTCGAATAATGAAGTATTCACGTTCATCATAGGGATACCCAAAACAAAGCCGCAATTATTATTACTGCGCAAAGAAAACAGTGTCCTTCATTACTTACTCCTTTTTGCGGGCTGGAGCTTCTTATGTCTCCAACTTTTTATTTTAACGGTGGCACATAAGGCGACCACCCGCAAGGACATAATTAGCCTCCACGTCGCCCTGGACTCGACGAGGGTTGGCCCACATTGTGCAATCATGTACCCATCCCTCTAGGAAGTGGTCTATAGATACTCCTTCCCCTCGCCCGAGCTCGAAGACCCGGATCTCAGAGGTTGGGCCGTCACCACCGAGTCGGCAAAGTACCACCCCCGACGAGTCAGGTCCACTCCAAGTCGATAACAGGGTCGGCGCCGAAAGCATACGAACGCCCGCCTTGGATGCTTCCTAGAGAGAAAGGGCGATCAAACCCGACACGGACTATCCATCTCGTTCTCTCGCACGACTTGGGAATTTAAACAAAAAACAACAGAAGATGATGAGGGCTTAGAAAAAAGAAGTGCGCAGCCAAGATAGAAAATGTCAAGCCTCAAGGAAAATTCAAATTTGTTTACCTACATTTACAAGTTTTTTTTCAGGATACCTGTTGACATTATTCATTTCAAAATACAAGTATATTTAACATGCAGGCAAGCGAAAGTTAGAAGCAGGACAATCCTTTCCCTTTCCTTCAATAGTCAAAATCAATCTCCTTAAATCCCTTTTTACCTACCAGCACATACCGCAAAGCAGAACAAACAAATTCAAAGAAAACCAATGCAACCCCATATCCAAGTCAGACCTTTCCATTCACATATGAATACACATTTCCTTTGCCTTTTCAATGAACATTCAATAAACAGGGTTAAGCAAGTGTGGGTTCACACAGGTGTGAAGGGAAATCTGAGTCAATCAACTGACTGACCTTGAGTGAAGTTTAATCCAGCTCACTCAAGAAAGCCGAGTAGTATTCCAATCAAATTTGAAAAGACGATCGCCGTTAAAGCTGAAAATATGCAGCTCATACCTCCACAACTTACGCCTGTTCCACTGAACAACGACCACCTCTCTCTACAAGTACTCGAATGAGCAAGGTCATGTCCGCTGAAAGGACTCAAGTGAGATAACCCTCCAGGAGGGTGTTCTCAACAATAAGTCCCATCAGGTCCCAACATTCCCAACGACACCCCGTCCTCCAAGGACAGTCTCATCCCAAACACAAGTCCACACCGCCTCCAATCACCACGCCAACTCACAATAATCATGACAACATGATGATCCCAATCTCAATATCAGTCCCACCTGATCCAAAATGGCCCCAAGTGGTCCCGCATTGCTACCGCACTTCCACCAAATGGTCTCATAAAAAAGCTTGCGCCGCAGGTCCCAAAAATATAACGGCAGCCCTCTGGCGCAAATGCCGCAAGTGCTAGTACCCAAATGGCCACACCAATAATTGCCGCGCCGCCAAAAGTTACCGTCGTAGCCACGAAACATTGTCGTAAAAGATCCAACACTGCTGTGCA